CCTCTCGGAGAATATGCAGGGTCTGCCTGGCCGTTTAGTTGCACGATTTGCCTCAGTTTCAAAGCCTACGTTGCCTTTTTTGTCACATCATGAGCTACAAGAGTAAACTCTAAACCAGAAGCTTGTACCCCTGAACCCTGAAGGAGTAGGATCAGATCGAGGCATCCCCTGCCTAGCCAGTACGAACTCAAGCAGGTCCCAGGAGCCCGGGAGGGATGGCGGGTGAATTCATACGTCGTCAGATCCACCATTCAGGTTTTGAGGGTTGCCTGGTGTTTTGTAGGGCTTCGTAGGTCAGATATCACAGTTCTGGTGCTGGCCTGACATGCGATTACTTCATCCCAACAGCGTGCTTGTTCTATGTTGTCAGTGGTGTTGGTAGGTGTTGTTGTGTTGCGAAGGCTCCTGGCTGCCCCGAGCCCGAAACAACGACAAGTGTTCAGGTCGCAGGTGAACCCTAAACCCCAAACCCCAAACCCCTAAGCCCTAAACTGCCCTAAACCCCAACCCTAAACCCCTAAACCCCACTGGTTTCAAAAAAGCGACACTGCAGGTGACGCTGGAGCTTCTGGAGGTCGCTCGCCGCCTGGATGCAGCACAGGACCCTAGAACATCAGGTCCCCAGTTCTCTTCTTGTGGGGGTTTCGAAAGTTTATAAGGGTTTAGGGTTTAGGGAGAGTTCATGGTTCTGCTGACTGGTTTTTAGGAAGGAACGGAGGAATCGGTTATTGGTACTACTATATGGGACCTCAAGGGGCTGTCATAGGGATCCATGCCCCCATTCCCTGCTAAGAACCAGAGAGTCTTGTGGGGTTTCGAAAGTTCAGGGGTTTGGGGTTTAGGGGCTTTGGTTTGAGGGTTCCTTATTGGCCTAGTAGGTAGGTAAGGTTTAACCTTCTGGGGCTTATATAACCCTACTGTAAGTCGAAAGGTTAACGTTTTGGGGGGCTTAGGGTACTACAACTTGAGGCTCCGGGGCTGAGTAAAAGGAGTACACCGAGTACACGTCTTGGGAAAATAGATGATCTCTTATAATGTTTGCACCTTTAGGCCTTCTGGACCCGGCAACTCAGGCAAGGAACTAACTAGTAAGACTGTATGTTATAAGGGCTTAAGCTGAGGTTTACGGCAAGGTTTCAGGTTGGAAGGTTGAGGGCTTCGGGTCGGGGTTGAGGGCCTGGGCCTAAGTTTAGGATTTAGGGGTTTAGGGTTTAGGGCATTCTGGTCAAAAGTTCAGAATCACCACCGGGGAAAGCAGCAGTCAAAGCCGAGGGTTGATGTTGAAAACCGTCAACCTTGAAGCCTTCAAGGCTTAATGTAGGGACCTTAACAATTCGACTTGGTTTTGGGTAGCCCCCAAACCCTATTCTAATTATCAAGGCCCATACATTATACTCCCAGGTAGATCCAGGCAGGCTTTTGGGATGTTTGACCGTTTCCCTTATTGGGCTTACAGAGGAGGATCTACAAATGTTTTATCAGAGCCCTGAAAGGGCCAAACGAGATTCTTACCGAGCCCCTAAACATCTTTACAACCCTGTACCAAACGAAGCAATTGAAGCTTCATAGACATTATGCCTTTTGCATTTTCCCTGCGCATCTAGGGTTTTCGCAGCGCATAGAATTCAACACCACAATATGCGGGCCTGAACAGCTAGTACTACTGTCCCTTAGGTTTCCTGTGTTTGTATAGAGTCGTATGAATCGGGCATCTATGTCCTACAGGCTGCCCTTTCGGAATTCACGGTGTAGGGCTGGATTTCGTTCGCCTCTTTGCCAACGTGTAGATGTTTGTTTGTTTGAGGTAAGAGTTATAAGGATATATAGCCATAGTTACTTTGTTTATAACCTTAGTTACTAACTAAGTCCCACGATTCTTCAAGGAGTAGTAAGGATCCTGCTTTGTAAGTTGGACACGCGCAAGGCCGGCTCCAGTGTTAAAAGGAGTTTGGGGGACTCATGCTGGTATGCTCTCTTTCAATCGTGGGTCTCTCTATTACGACCAATGATAGGCAAAACAGCGGTACAGCCATTGAAGTGCATCCTTGGGAACTCCGTGGAGTGGCCACCTCCTACATCTCTACAGCGCGCAGAAGCCTGGAATGCTGCAGCCTCAACGCCTTAACACCCCAACACCATCCGACGACATAAATGCCTGGCTGCCCGAACAAAATCTAAACTCGAAAGCAAGTCTGTAAAGCTCGAAAAGACTGTAAGCTTTGCATCATAGCTCACAGACCCCTCACACAGCCCCGTTGACCGCCCGTATGAAGCCACAGCCAGTCTATCTAAAGTAATATGGCTGTGTGCATGGTATGTTGTCAAGACTTTTATGAAAACATGTTTGTACACACGTGTATAGTATAGTGTATAGATATAGCTTTACAGTACCCTGCAAATATCCGAAAAACGATCGGGAACAACCAACCATGCACCATTCCGCCTCATCTAAGCCCTGAAGCCGAAAACCCTATAAAGCCTCGAACCCTAAAGTACCCTAGAAACCCTAGAGCGCTGTAGACCTGTAGACATGAGACCTATGAGCCGATAAAACCCTATAAACTCAGCCGTTATTTCTCATGCGAGGCGAATTGGGGGTGCGACGGATCTGGCTGCAGCCGGGGTCGGAATCTCCTGAGGCTCCAAGTATAGGGGCCCCCGAAAGGACATGAGTTTTCTAGGAGGGCCGCGAAACAATTAGGATAGGATTGTGGGATGTCCTTTCAGGGCTCGGTAAGTGCACTATAGGAGTTTAGGCTCGCGGTTTAGAGTCTTTATGATTGGGGCGAGGGGGAGTTCCAAAAGATAAGACTTCGGTAAAAGGCTTAGGCTTTGGGGTGTAGAACAGGCTGGTTGCCGAAATGGAGGCGGCCGCTGAAGAAGAAATTATCGGATGACAGCGACGCAGGAGGGATCTTACAAGAAGGATCGAGTTGTAATATAGGGACCTTAGTAGTTAGAATAGGGTTTGGAGTACGTATAGTATACTATAATTATAATTAGGAACGCCACAAAACCCTATTCTAATTTTAAGGCCCCTGGTGCTTGACGGCCTTCAATGGAGTCCGGAATTTCCGCCAAGGTCATCTTTCACGGTCTTGTCGGGATGAGAAGAGTTTCAGAGTGCCTTTCTAGGATTGGTTTATGAGGTATTAGATCTATGGGGCTTTATTGTATGGCGTTTTTGGATTTGATAGGGCTTAGGTCTGCACATACTGGTGCTATTTCTCATGCTGCCCCTCAGGGTTTTTATGTTTAGTCTACTAGAATATACCCCGAGAACCCCGTAGCCCTGAAAGAACCCTTTACAGACCACCCAGGAGTTGCCGTAACGCCTGAAAAACGAAGGACACGCCATAAAGCAAATGTTTTTGAGTGAGGGTGGGTCTAAACCGTAAACCCCTGAATCCCTACAGCCCTAAACCTTGGAAGCCCTAATCCCTAAACCTCTTAAGACCCTCAACCCTAAAGCCCTAAACCCCAAAGCGTTCGAGTGCAGGTCCTGAAACGGGCCTCGGAGTTGGATATGGGTTCCGAGCTCGGCCGGCGAGCTTGGTTTCAGGCTCTTTTGGGCTTCGGGTTGAGTGTGAGGGCTTTAAGGATGTTGAGATCATGGCTTCCAAGAGCCAAAATCTCCTTGGGTTTCTTGGGCTCAATGAGTTAAGTTGGGGGGCCTTATGCGGAGGATCTTGTTCTATGTTCGGTCCAATACAGGGCCTTGGTTCCAAGCCTGACATATATTTTGGGCTGCTGGTGTTTCTGCAGAGCTCACTTCTGGGCTTCAGACCGGAGATGCCGGTTTCGGTTCAGGGTTTAGGGTTTAGGTATGGTTTCATTGGCTGATGTGATGTGATGTGACATGTTTTATGTCTCCTATACCACGAGGGAAGGGGAATTTATTCCCATAGCCCGAATCAGGATTAGCCTTAAGTTTAGGTTGTCAGATTTCGTTCAGGAGTTTACGGTTCAGGTCTGACGTACAGGCAGACACCCGAGCCCAAGATCCTTGACTCCAATGAGTGCTTATCTTGCTAAAAGGCTTCGGGGAGAGTTTCCCTGTAAGAGTCCCCAAATGATCCCTCACAGTAGTCCTATATTCGATATCAGTTTTATCCAGAAAGTCGGAAGGCATGAAGAAACACACCGAATGTCACAACAGGACCCACTTCCTCCTTAGGGGTACTTAGAAATATTTTTTAATCTTTATAATTTTTGCTAGGGGTCTAAGTTCAGTATAGCCTCGGCCTAACTCCCGAAACCATGAGACCCTGAAGCTCCAGTCTCTGAGGTTCTCAACCCCGGGACCCCTCCAACCCCAAACCCCTGAAGGCTAGCACCCTGCACCCTGAACCCTCCAACCCCTAAACCCCTAAACCCTAAACCCCTAAACCCCTAAACCCCTAAACCCCTAAACCCTAAACCCCTAAACCCCTAAACCCTAAACCCCCGAAGCCCTAAACGCCATGAAGGGCTCCTGTTATCAAAGCTCCGAGGTCTCATCCATTCTGGGCCTTGTCTCCTTCAGGTCCCCAGTTCTCTTCTTGTGGGGTTTCGACCGTTCTGGGGTTTAGGGGTTTGGGGTTTAGGGGTTTGGGGTTCCTTCCGGTCTGGGTAGGTTCCTTTTCACCTTTTTAGGGGGTTTGTAATCCTACTAGAAATTGAATTTAAAAGTTTGGCGTTTTTTGGGCCAGGGCATTCAGCCCCCAAGAAACCGAAACCTTACACGCTCATCCTCCAAAAAATTCGGAGTTAGGGAAGCTGGGGCAGGCAGGGTTCGGGTGACGGTTTAGGGATTTAGGGCTTTAGGGTTTTAGGGTTTGGTGGCGGGTTTTCGGGTTTGGTGTGTAGGTTTCGGTGCTGCAGTCAGTAACTTGCATGTTCTTTGTTTGTTTTTTGCCGCGCAGTTTCGTGACGGAGCCCCAGAGATGAAGAGGCTTGAACAGTTTATGAACAGCATACGCTTGGGTTTTGTCTTAGATTTGCAGTAGGCAGTTCAGGGTTGGAGTTGTGCCCGAGGGGATTTATCAACATGCCCTACATGCCAACCGCCTAATCCAGGAAACAATTTCAATTCAAGACGAATCAGGGTTGTTCTTAACTGTAACGAATCCAACCGACTGGTCCTCGTCGTTGAATTTAGAGAACTACCCACATGGCTTTAGCTGAGCGCTTGAGTTGGCTTGGGTCCCTCATCTTCCGGCACTACCATACCCTGACCCCTAGACCCTAAACCCCCAAACCTTAAACCTTCAACCCCCAAACCCTCAACCAAAAATCCCAAAACGCTACACCCCAAACCCTGAACCCTAAACTTCCAAACCCAAAGCCCCCAACCCTAACCCCCCAAACCTTAAACCCCCAAACCCCAAGCCGTAGACAAACCCTAGACCCTAGGGCCCCGGGGTTACCAGGTGCTCGGCTTCGACTCCACTTGGTCTCCGCCGGAGGCAAGCGAAGGGAAGCACATCCAGACACGCATGTATACGGGTTTAGGGTTTAGGGCCTTATTTTACATACATACATCATAGCAAGAGCCTTGCTATGGGTGTATATATCCAAGCACGTATATGTGCAGTATGTATATACATATATGTATATATACTATATATACATATGCACCTAACGGGTTTAGGGTTTAGGTTTATGTATGTATGTATGGATGTATGTATGCATGTATGTATGCATGCATGTATGTATGTATGTATGTATGCATGTATGCATGCATGCATGTAAGCATGTGTGTACGTATGGCTATTTGTATGTGTATATATATATATATATACATTCTGGGTTTAGGGTTTAGCTTTCACGGTTTATGCATGTGTGTATGTATGTATGTATGTATGTATGTATGTATGTATGTATGTATGTATGTATGTAAGTGTGTACGTATAATTATACAGACAGATAGACAGACAGATAGACAGACAGACAGATAGATACA